AAAAAAAAAAAAAAAAAAAAAATCACTTAAAAGTCAGTATCAATTTATTCCAATGTAGTTTTTTGAGTAAAGTCTTCAGATTTATGTCTACTTGTTGGTGATCCTCACAAAGATGAATAATCAATTCATGAACAAAACAAGTTCAATTGAATTGAATACTGTTGCTTAATTCTGGTGTGGGAATTCAGAGCTTCTAAGTGGGTCTTTTGGTTGCGTGAAACAAAAGCGAGCAGCTCTTTTTTTCATGTCAAAATTAACGGTGTATTCCCTACATATATACATGGGCATACCTCGAATCGCTAGCTTTTTCCTCTGAGAACACACTAAAGGTGGGAGAGAAAGAGAGAGAGAGAGAACCTTGATCAGGATCGGTGGTGGGCTGAGTTGAATTTTGAGCTTCAGACAAAACAGCCAGGTGGCAGACGATGGAAGCAATAGCACAAAGAGCAAAGATGAAACCTGAAGATGAAGACGCCATGAACATGGACATGGAATTGGAAGCTTGATCAGTTACAGACAGAATTATGGAGGGAGGATTTATATGAATTTAGCCACAGCGCATCCTTAGATAGAGAAAATGATATTTTGTTTATAACAATCCTAAAATTCAAGACATTGGGACAGCCATCGAATTAATGGGGTATTCTGACCAAAACCGTGACGACAAAAAATACAACAGAGTTGAAAAAGAAGACCACAAGGTGACGATTGAGACTTATTCAAGTTCTCCATTAATGAATTGATTTTCTTGCTTTACCAATATAAATAATAATAAAATGAGCATGGGAAAGGCAAGTGGCGAAGCAATTAAGCATATAAAAATGGCAGCCCATGTGCTTGAACTCAAACAATTAAGCGTACAGTGGTAGACAAGTATTCTTGGGTCGCATGGAAGTCCGGTAAGCCACCGGCGAGGGCTGGGTAGACAAGTATTCTTGGGTCGCATGGAAGTCCGGTAAGCCACCGGCGAGGGCTGGGTTGAAAATCACAGCATAAAATTCAAATTGTAGAGATTAGGTGAGTATTTGAGGTGGCGGGACCGCAAATCTGAGCGTCAAGGGCAAGGTGTGAATAGAGAATTAAGTGGTAGTTTTACCTGATGTTGGTTGAGTTGACAATTCAAAGCTAGTGGCTGACGGCGGTGGCCCTGCATTTATCCACATGCGCTCTATGCCGACGGCTGTCAATATCAGAATTCATAAGGATTGTAACCAGAACAACGGCGTGCGCGCCTTTTCCGTACTCTGAGATGGCCCAAATCGTGTTAAATGTTTGTTGTATTGGGCCCCATTTGGACCGCATCTCCCTCTTCTACACTACCATGAAACGTTTGTAACTTGTTATTTTATACATAAAAAAAATGGTAATTCAAATTACTTGCAAAAATAAGTTTTAATTTTCTATGTACATACTTTTCGTTATTGTGGTTCATGTTTTAAATATTAGCAATGAGTTATTAACCGAATATATCATGTCTTCATTAATTAAATTATGCTTAAGTTTATTATTTAAGTTATAGTCTTTGACCGTGTATTTAAACCGGAGAACACCTTACCTAATCTCGACCATAAGGTTAAAGATTTCAACCCCATTTTTATTCGTCGTTTTTGGAAGTAATTCGCAAGTGTTTTTGAAAAGAAAAAAAAAAACAAACACCTGAAGTTGAAGTGGCTTGAGGGACAGACAAATAAAATACTTGACCTGAAGACACCTACCAATACTTTTAATAGAGTAGAAGCAAATTAAAATACTTCTGATACAAAGAAATATATATTTTAGAGACCAAAGAATAAATGATCAATAAATATTTAGCAAGAGTTTGGTTTGGAGAACAAAGAAATGGAGGTATGTTCGGGCAGAAGTTCTTTGAAAACCTATGTCTTTGGGGGTGGGGTGTAGCTTTAGAACAAGCTGAACAAAAGAAATAAAAGGTACGTATGATATGGCAAGAACTGGAGGCTGTAACATTCAAACAATTTAAGTAGCAAACTCAAGAACATAAATAATTGAAATCATATATATAATTCAGGAATGTTGTATTGTAATGTACAAAGCCTGAGGTGGGGGGGATGTTGAGTAAATGTGAAACAAGAAAATGAAAAATGTCAATACCAAGCTTGTTCATCTACCCGGCCCCAAATGATTCATGGAGCAGTGGTTTGTCTGGCAATTGCTTTATATCAACAACATTCGAACTTGTTGATGCATAAAGGCTACTATCAGGTTCTTCAGTTGATGGAGTATCAATAAAGCTTGTAATGTCATCAAATTTCCAGTCTATCAGGTATCCTGGTTTGGAAGTTACAGCGGCCACTTCAACGTCTCCAGTCAGCATTGCTACCACGCGGGACATGGATGGCCGAAGAGCTGGGGATGTTTGAGTGCACAGAAGAGCTACACCAATCACCCTCTTTACTTCCTCCTTGCTGAACTCTGATAATTCAGGATCCACCATCTCCAGTTCACGGTTGTTTTCGTGGAGGTACCATGTCTACAAGCCAAAACAGGAATTTATCACAATGGAAGCGACTCATTCTTATGAACAAAACAGGAAAAACGATTCATTCTTACCCAATCAAGAAGATATATTTTGTGTTGCTCTAAGCTTGGGTATGAATTCGGCCTTCCGCTCACAATTTCAAGAGCCACAACGCCAAATCCAAACACATCAGCCTTCTCCGTAAGGTGGCCACGCATGGCATACTCAGGTGCAAGATAACCACTGCAACAGAACAGTAAGCTGGCCTACATTAGCACTCATTACCAAGAAAAAGGAAGCGCAAACACAATCACTGAATTAATCTTACATTGTCCCAGCAACACGAGTGCTTATATGAGTCTTTTTGTCGTCGTAAAGTTTAGCTAAGCCAAAATCTGAAATTTTGGGAATCAGATTACCATCAAGCAGGATGTTACTGGCCTTAACGTCTCTGTGCACTATGCGAAGTCTTGATTCCTCATGAAGGTAAGTGAGGCCCCTTGCTACACCCACGCATATGTCAAAACGTTTTGCCCAATCAATAATCAAATGTTTTTTTCCTGCCACACAAAACCCATGATTAAATACAACCATCTTTGCTTTCAGCAGCCGGAAAATTGGATATAAATTCCTTACCAAATAATGCTTGGTCAAGACTCTTGTTTTCAAGAAACTCATAAACAAGGAGACGTTTATCGGCCTCGATGCAACATCCATATAATTTCACAAGATTGCGATGCTGCACTGCAGATACTGTGGCAATCTCAGCAACAAACTGGCTCTTTCCTTGGTGGGATGCCACTGAGAGTTGCTTCACAGCAACCATTCTTCCATCACTTAGTGTTCCCTGCAAGGGTAAAATAAATCAGATAGTAAGTAATAGCAATACTTCAGATTTGAATAATGCAACAGGATACAACCATAATAATGACATTTTTCCTAGCCCTATCCACTCCTTCGCCATTTTAAAGAGAGACCATACCTTGTAAACAGGTCCAAATCCTCCCTCGCCAAGTTTGTTGGATGAATTGAAGTCGCTTGTAGCACCCCTTAGTTCAGAATAACTAAAAGTGTACGGTCTAGCATCTATCCCCAGGAGCTCTGACAAATTATAATAATAAATAAATAATTGGTATAGATGTGAATAGAAGTTTCAGTATGCCTCCCCCAATGTAGACCCCAAATGGAAGAAAAGGCAGCAATAAGAGACCCATTTATTGAAGATTAAGGTCGAATGCAATGGAATCAAGACGCGAATAACAACTTGGAAGCAGATTCCTTGTAGTTACCTTCATCTTCATTGGCACGACGCCTATTCCTTCTCTGGACGATAAAGAAAACTGCGCCAATAATCAGAAAGAAAACAGATCCTAACCCAACAAAGAGACCTACAATTAGGCCCTTTCTATTATCCTCCCTTGCAATTAGGCCCGTTCTACTATTCTCCTTAGTACTTGGAGGTACGTTACTGACATTTGGTTTAAAATCTGCAGAAAAGCTCACTACTTAACAGGAAAAACTTGAAAACAAGGACACAATAAAGAACAAAACTTGACATTACCAATTACCTGGGGTAGCACTGATGGCTGAAACGGAAGGTCCAAAAGCACCCTGATTTGGTATGCAGCATGTACCTTTCCCCGCCCAAAAGAGATGAATTTCCAGGAAATTTTCTGTAACTTCCGCCGTGAAGTTCTTTGGGACAGCAAGGAAAGACCCACCTGCTTCCTTTCTAATATTAAAATTCTGTACAACACGATTTCCCTGAAACCAATGATGATGAACTCAGACAAAGGAACAGAGCAACAGACAATCGCAAAAATGAAGACACAGCAGAAAACGAACATCAGTTCGTAAGGGAATAACACAGGACAGACTGGAAATAGGGCGGATGACACTTGTTCTTACCGGATAAACAATACTATACAAGTGTTGCTAACAATCATCTATCAACTAAGAAGCACAGACACAGACACGGGATTGACCAAACATGGTAACAGTTATATATAGGCAGAGCTTTGATGTAAACCTTTCTTTAGGACAATATTGTTTGCCTTGGCCTGGAACTATGGTAGAGGAGGACTCATTACAAGATTATATAAATGAAGAAGAATTAAAAAGAAACCTGTATATATATATCAAAGAGACGCCTCTCACGGCTTTGCCATGTATTTGAATCTGAGAGAACTATTTCTGCAAAATAAAGGTTCACGGTGTAGTTGCCATTCTGAAGTCCGAGTCCGTAGTATCTCAATGATGAAGCAGATAGTCGCTGTGTCTGATAAAGTTCTCCCACAAGGGTGTTTGGGAATTGAGACAATGTATTGGCTATGTATTCAGAATTGTTGGACCCAGTGAAGTATCCAGTATTACTCACCGCCCACCTATTTGACTCGGTAACAAAGTACGTAGCAGGACCGAGAGTCTCCTTTTCCGCTTCAAACAAAATCCCTGATGAACTTCTGAACTGAGGACCGCCACATTTGATCCCAAAATCAGAATCTAGCATCAATATACAAGACAGGAACTATGAATAAAAGATATCCACACGTAGGACGGTGCATCTTCTTATTTAACAACTGCCTTATGTCGAAAGTAAGAAGCCTGAGGTAGTTTTTCCTCCTCCTCCTCAGAGAAACATACAACAAATAGGAAGAATTTATTTTGTAATTTCTACTCACATATTGGACGGTCTCGATTACAAGGAAAGTTTCGTTGAAGACAATGCAATCCCGAAGGCAACCCACTGAAAGCAAAAGAGAGATGTGTTAAACACACCACTTTAAGACAACGAAGTATATGTATACGCAAGGATATTAAATCAACTCATGGAAACACCTGATACTTGAACCTTCCATGATGAAATTGTTGGCGACTAAATTTCTGCATATCAAATCCAACAAAAGATTGCAACATAATCTTCATCTTAATGTTACATGAGTAGGTAGGCAGTGTATTATTGTAACTTGCATGATTGTAGAGAAAAAGATATAGAACAGAAAATCAGTGGCACGTTACTTACAGCTGTAAGTTTTGCTGGTTGATCCAAGAAGGAAAGCTCCCTGATAAATCATTATATGACAAGTCTCTACGAGATCAAGTGGCAAGGCATTAGCACTCAGTACAGAAGTTAACAGCCAATAAATCTAAGCATGCCAAAAACAAGCATATGTGTGTATGCCTGAATGAATAACATGCCTTCTCAAAACCTCAATCTCAGAAAGCACACCCTATGCAACTCCTTACTATGAATATTTAAACTCTGTAATCGAGATCTTTGATAAAAGATGCATTCCATTGGAGCATAGTGAAAAAACGGTCGAACCTTTCATATATCTTTGAGATGGGAAATTTTTCATTTTCCAGGAATACAAAATATTTTCCATCTACTTGACTGAATGAAATATTGCTAAGTCCGATCTACTTGTAAGGGGCATCGTTAACTGAAATCAACATTCGCAAGACAAACTCACATATTAAGAAGTGATGCACTCTTTTGTGTAGGTAGGGTCCCAGTTAACTTATTATTTCCAAGAAACCTGAGAAAAAGACGGAATATACACTTCAATTCGACGAAAAGATGGTGGGAGTTGGATAGTTAGTGTAGGAAGGGTTGGATGTTACAAGTGTGACAGTGAACTCAAATTGAAAAGCGAGCTTGGAATCTCTCCTGTCAAGTTGTTGAAGCTCAAGTCCCTACAATAGAAAGGAGAATGGAGTCACTTCATTACCAGAACTACAAGAACTTTTAAGAATAAAATGCGTTCTTCAAATAGGATTCAACTCTCCCCAAGAGAACTAAGTTTCATAATAGTAAGAAGAAAAAAAAGAAGGAAAACATGTTACTAGATTTACCATCCAAATGGATCCCATCTTAATTTATATATCAGTTTGGAGATGAGATAACACCAACACAATTCTTAAAAGAACACATGAACATTGTTGTTTCCAGGTGATTTGGTGAGGCAAGGATATCATGCACAAAAATGACGACAGGTGTATGACTCACATTTGTTTGCACACAAACAAATCCAACTTAGCTCATTACCAGCAACATATTAATTTAAACGGTTATCCATCGATGAGGAATTCTTACAGCAGGGTAAGACTACGAAATTCTCCAATGTTGGATGGAATTGAACCTGTCATATTATTATTTCTCAGCACCCTGCAAGAAAAGGAACATTATAATCATAAAAACGTTTGGGAGATTGAAAATGAAAATAAATAAATAAATAACAGCAATGAAACAAAAGATGGAGCCAACTCACAGGATAGTTAGAGATGTCATATTACTGACGAATGATAGAGAAGAGCTCCCATTGGATAATTCACCTATTCTCCTATATTAATTATATATAGTTTATTAGCAATGAGTGAAGCAGTGCATAGACCAAATACCCTTGAAATGGTTAAAGTTACTCACAACTCGGTCAAAGATGTCAAGTTTGAAAATGTCGACGGTATGGGACCTGTAAAAGAGTTTCCTTGAAACCTCCTACAAAAGTGAGTAGATAATAAAGGGATAGATCTTCAACTTTACTGGAAATTGCAAGTAAACAAAAACTTTTGCATAGCATAGTAAATAAAATGGACTTGAATGAAAATCTACAGCATAAGGAAACCTCCGGCCGTTGCTTAGGCCATCAGGCACCATTTTGGAGAGAGATGTTAGGAACAACGGACATCCACATTGGTATGATATCGTATACTTTGAGCTTAATCTCTCATGACTTTGCTTTTAGTTTCCCCAAAAGGCCTAATACCAATGGAGATAGTGTCCCTCACTTATATACCCGTGATCTTCCCCCTTAATTAGCTTATTTGGGACTCCAATAATCCTTCTTTTGAACAAAATATACTATAGAGCCTCCCCGAGGCCTCTTTCTCTTGAGCCCCCCTTGAACAACCTCTCCTTAATCGAGGTTTGACTTCTTCTCTGGAGCCCTCAAATAAAGTACACTCTTTGTTCGTGTAACAGCCCAGACCCACCGCTAGCAGATATTGTCCTTTTTGGGTTTTCCCTTTCGGGCTTCCCCTCAAGGTTTTAAAATGTGTTTGCTACCCTTATAAAGAGTGTTCCGTTCTCCTCCCTAACCAATGTGGGATTCTCACAGTTCGACACTTGAGTCATTATGACTACGCTTCGAGGCTCACAACTTCTTTGTTTGACACTTAAGGATGCTATTGACATGGCTAAGTTAAGATAAAGGAATGACTCTAATACCAATTAGGAACAACGAACCTCCACATTGGTATGATATTGTCCACATTGAGCATAAGCTCTCATGGCTTTACTTGGTTTACATAAAAGGCCTCATACCAATGGAAATAATGTCTCTCACTTATATACCCATGATCTTTTCCTTAATTAGCTGATGTAGGACTCCAACAATCCTCAACAAGTGAGGAGGGAGGGGGTGTTGGAGCTAAGAAGAGACAGACTAACATAATTGTCTTACAAAGTTGTGAGCCCTGTCCAACTCCCGATGAAATCAGGTATTCTGCCACTGAGGTCATTGTCCGATGCCCATCTGTTCAAAAAATAGCTTTATATAAAAATGATGCAATCTTGGCTGATAAAGTTGGAAAAATTAAATCCAAAAAATGGATTACACTGTATTCAAGTTTCTTAGACGTGAAAATGATTGAGGAATACCACCAGTAACTCCAGAGCTATCGATGTATCTATCAAGACAAACATGATTAACAAATTATCAGTGCAATGAAACAGTGCAACGCAAAGTCAAAGTAGGATCACCACATCTAAGTTTAACAAAAGCCGAGTCAAAGATTGAAACTCGGCACAAATCACAAGATGAAGGGACCGAAAGTCAAATAAGTATTTTAGATTCTTGCATCAACCAACTCCCAATTAAATAAAATGATCATGATCATGAATATGTAAGTACTATGAGTTAACCCCAGAATAGGGAACCGTTAAGATTAGTGAGTTTTTTCTTTCACAAAAATTGGTTTAGCTTTCAGTCTTTTCTTTCTTTTATGTCTGCAGCGTTATACTCTGCATAAGTTACACATATAGATATAAAAAAGGTTCAAGAATTTTGATAAACAAAAAGCCAAAGAAAAAAGAAAGAAAGAGAGAGAGGAAGAAAAGCTTACAGTTTCTTCAACATAGAAAGATTTCCAAGCTCTGGTGGTAAGGAACCAGAGAAATTGTTGGACCCGAGAGCCCTACGATATCAGGCAAAACGCAACAGTTAAATATGGTTTTTATGAAATATATACAGCCGCATGACATATAAAAATGCTCAGGATATGCATTTGTACTCGTGAAAAGTTTCATTATTTCCATAAGGAAAAGACAGAAGCATCTGAGTAAATTTAGAATTTTCTAGTGCATAAAAGATTATTACATGTAGTTAACAAATTAATTGAAAAGGATAGCTCCATAGATTTAATAAAAAGCAACAGGATCCGCGAGCCATTCGAATGTCTTCCAGAGTTGAGTAGAAACAGATGGCTTACAACATTTCCAGTTTAGAAAGAGATCCAAGTTCCTTCGGAAGTTCCCCTGATAATGCATTAGTGCCCAGGCTCCTAATCATAATTTGATTAAAATTAGAAAATGGATGAAACTTCTTAACGTTGATGTTCGATATAATATTATGTCTTTTGAGGTCTCTAGGAAAAGCTACTGATTGTCTTACAAGCTCCGCAATTCTGTGAGATTACCAACAGATGCAGATAGTGTTCCTGTCAAGAAATTTTGATCCAACTTCCTGAAAGAAATTCAGTTCAATTTATTTGCATGAACTACGAGTAAAACTTTCCATATTACACTTAATATATGCGTCAATATGAACATAGATTAGTAGTTAAGGCATACAGATAGGTGAGGGACGTTAATGTCCATAGCTCTGGTGGGAGTATACCAACAACATTTATTGCATAAACGTTCCTGCAAAAATTCAAACAGAACAAGAAAGAAAACAAAGAACATTAGTTTGTTATGAGAAACAAATATGCTGTTCTCTGATCTTTTCTTTCAAGTAGATTATATCCTCTTATGATCGACCAGATTTGTCTGGATGCTAAACATACAAGCAATATGGCGGCATTAGTCCTCTGGAAAAACTGTTTTTTTTTTTTTTTTTTTTTTTTTTTTTTTTTTTTTTTTTTTTTTTTTTTTTTTTTTTTTTTTTTTTTTTTTT